AAAAAAAAAAGCTCAGCGGAAAACCACAAATCAACAAAATAAATAAGAAAATAAAATAACAATATCCCTCTGGTGTGCACTAAGAGTCCAAAACTTCTGGATAACACTGCCAAACCTGCAGTAGTTTGTGCTGGACTTGAAGCTGATCTTGACCTCAAGATGTGGGGGCCTATGGCCAGAGTCTTCAGCCAGTCTTTTCTGCATGTCACTTAGTGGCCTCCCCCTCCTTACCCTGTTTCTCTTGGTGACATCACTCTCCCAGTTGCTGTGCTGTTTTCAGACCGAGATGGGGGCTGTCTCTAGTCCCATACCTCTTTACTCCTCCTGGTCCATGTTTGGCTTTCTGTGTTCCTCTTCCCCAGCAGGTCTCTGTCCTCTCAGGTCATTTGTTACAGTAAGGCAGGCTACTGTGATACGGTCTTACCCTCTGCTCCTGCTGGTGCAGTCCAAGGCTGCTCAGTCCCAATTTTTATGCCTCTCCTGTTAACTTCCTATCTACTGCTTTACAAGTTCTGCCACCACTGTTCTGCTGCCACCTCTGCTGTAGTCTGTAACTTCCCTAGGGTGAGCTGGGGGGATGCTGTGGGTGTCTTCCTGCTCCTACCCCCTGCAGCAAGGTGACAGCCCAAGACTGTGCAGTTCCAAGATGCAAGGCTGTTTCATCCCCCATGCCTCTCTAACTAAAGGTCACAGGGGAGGGGTAAGCATTCCATTTATTGTGCACCCCTGTAGTCTTTAGTCTTATTCCTTCATGGTTCTAGTTAGAGCTCTGATGCATAGAACAAAAGGGATGTAGAGAAAAAAAGAACAAGTTAAAAAATAGAACTGCCTAACCATCAGGGAGGGAGCAGTTAATGGCTGCAGAATGTGCCACTGGCCTGTAGTACCTTCTGTTTGGAGGAAGGCAGAAGAAGCAAAAGACCTTATATCCCTCGTCTATCCTGTATGGCTTGATTTAGCCACATCATTTTAGTATATCCTCCTCCTCCTCCTCCTCCTCCTCCTCCTCCTCCTCCTTAGTCCTCTTCTTTTTTAAGATTCCAAGTATGATGGGCAGTCATTCCAATCAAGTGACCCACCAGCAACTGGATGGGTTTAACTGGCCATTTTATTAAGTACTTCATCTTTGTTTTGCTTGATCTATTAGTCTCATAACAGATTGATTTTAGTTTCAGGGTGTATGTCTCTCCCCTTCTTTTTGATGACTGTTGTTTCAGTTGAATTTCTCTGAGTAACTCAGAAGGAGGCTCCTCCTCTATTCACCCATGTTGTCTCCTCCTCCAATCACTGCATTTTTATCATTTTTATATCCCACGTCTTCCTTGTGTGACTTGATTTTGCCACACTATTTTAATCTATCCACTTTTTTCCTTTTCTTCTTTTAACCTTCCTACTATGGCAGTCCTGTTTTGCCAGTGGTCAGGCAACTCTCCAGCTGCCCTGTGGGCTGTATGGCTATTTCACTAGGTCCTATATTTATGATTCATTTGATCTCCAAGTCTCTTATTTCAGATTGATTTTGGCTTCAGAATGTATGTCCCTCCCTTTCTTCCAATTTCCTGGCTTTTTTAGTTAAATTTCTCTTAGTAGATTTGAATGTGGCTCCTCCTCTATTCAGCCACATTTCTTACCCCCAGATTTTTTCACTGTTATTTTTTCACCTAGTTATTTTTCTCTTGTTGCTGAGAAAAAATACCCAAAATTCAAAATTAAAGGAGGAAAACTACTGACTTAAAATCCATGAGTTAAAGTTTCTGCTCCTACTGCAGGAGCCCAGTCAAATATCCTCTGTGGACAGGGATACCCACAGGGCCTTCTCCTCTTTCATTTGTAGGTGAGGGTGAGGGTAGCCAGAAAGGCTATTGTTGCATGGAAGGAAAGCCTCCTGCCCCACCACCTGGACAAGACAGGACAGCAGTGGGGTTTGGTCTCCTCCATGGCATCCAGCAAACACAGGCCCACAGGAATGCTTTTGGGCACCCCCAGTGTACAAGACAGAGATTCATTTCATGTGTTCTATGAACAGAAAGTGGCATTGACCCAGCAAGGGAAAGCCCACTGTACAAGTGGGAAAACATAGAGGCTCACCAGGGAATAAAGGCCAAAACTTTGTCTCTCGGGAGCTCACTTTTCATATCCCAGACAGCATTCACACTTCCCAAAGAGAACTTTGGTTCCAAGGCCCTCCTTTCGGCAGCCAGGGATCAACTTTAGGAATTCTAATTAAGTAAAACTTAGGGCTCCCCAGAGCTCACTTCTTCCATTCCTCTCCTATTGTCTCTTTCCCTGTGTCTCTGATTTCCTAAGCTTCCCAAAATCTCCCTATATTCCAGCCCATGGGTAGCCGGATCCAGGGAAAGAATCACTGCAGGAGCACAGGTCAGGCGATTTGGAGCCAGTCCAAGCTGGGATCTGACCAGTGGCTGTGACTCAGGAGTGCTGAGGCAACCCCGCCCCACCAGCAAAGCCACTGAACCACCAGAGTTTTGTCATCCTAGATATGAGGTCACCATAGACAATATAATAAGCTGTTGGCCTTTATTCTTCATAGACTTTATGCATTAGGTTTTTTTTAATTTTCTTACAAGCATTTTTTCTTTCCTAATGATATTTATTTCACTTGAATAAGAACATTACAGAAGTTTCTAGGACAAAACCCGACATTGTTAGTACAGAGTTAGGGTTTCCTTGAATACGTAGCTAGACAGTTCTTAGCTTCTATCTCATCCTTTACACCTTGGCCATGATACATCCAGCTTCTCCTTCCACAATAAAATAAAAATAAGCAAAGATTCTGTCTTGTGACTGGGGCATCTTTGTCTTACATTACTCAGGGCTACAGGGTTACTATCATATATTCCTTTATTTCTAAAAGTTAACTTTTACATGGTGCTCATGGTCAAACCTAGGGCTTTTATACAATAGGCCAGTGCTCTGACATGGAGCTAGATACACAGCCCTTCATATACCCTTTATGTAACTGACCACAGAATTGACAGTATCCTGGGAGCATGGGAAAGATAAAAGCTTCCTGTCAAATAAAACGATGCATCCGTGAAAGCCATCCTCTATATGGTACCAGCTCACTGGGACCCCCTGGTCTTCCAAGCGCTTCTTGTAAAGCAAGGTGTCATCACGGAGAATGTCATGTCCATAGCTCACCAAGAAGGCTTCAGGAAGCTGGGAGATTATCTCATCCTCTGCAAGGATGGGCGCATTTCTTACATCAAAGAAATGTTTGGTTTCCAGGTAAGCAGACTCAATGAAAGGCCCGGGAAACTGGGGTTCTTGTCCTTTGTTTTTGAACCTGTCAGGGATGTTGTCAGAGCTGATCCATCTCTGGTACTTCTTCCAGTTCTCTGGGGGCATACATGCACCATTCCATAAAGCATCTTTCCAGGAGAGGTCAGTGGCCATATATTTACACACTAATGTCATAAATATCTCTTGGGTGAGAAATGGGACATTTTTATTTTGACAAAAAGATGGCAACTGTAAATTCAATAACTGGACAGCTGGGGATATTAGAATCTGAGCCCGAATCTGGGGAAGGCTGGTTCTGCCCACTAAGGCCTGAGTAACCATGGCCACAGTGGATGCGCCCATGCTTTCTCCACAGATGACCACCCGGGAGGCTTCTACTCCATAGGTTTGCAGCCTCTTCAGGAAGTGGATGGTGGCATTCAGGCAGTCCCGATAAACAATAGGGAAATGGTAGTCAGGGTATTTGCGGTACCTAAACAGAAAAGGAAGAACAGAGACAAGTGTACATGAGTACACTTCAGGTGTTTGAGTGGTGTCTTCTGCCACCCCCTAGGAGAGTAACCCGGATGCATCCTCAGAAGGACCCTAAGTAGCAAAGAAGTGTAGCTCCATTTTATCTGGATATGAAGAACCAATTCAAGTCAGGAGTTCTGAGAAATGCTAGGTCAGTTTTGAACTTGTGTCCTCCTGGAAATGGATATCAGGCATTTTGTATTGTAAGGCGGATGTGGAACTTTGGGGTCTAGGGAAACTAATCCCATCCTTTGGATCATAAGTGTTCTCCAAAGGTCTATGTGTTAGATGCTGGTACCAGGTTAAAGATAGTGGAAAGTTTAAAGTGTGCCTTAATATGAGATCTGTAGGTCACTAAAGTGTTCCCCTGCAGCGAACTGTTTCTTTTCCCCACAACCCCAAGTCAAAAGATGAGTGGTTTTACTCTGCTATATGCCCAGTGAAATGGAATGAGCTGATTTGGAACCAAAATGTCTAAAATCATGTGCTCAAAATAAGAACAAATCATTTCTCTTCTTAAGCTGGTTATCTTAGGTATGCATTAAAATGGTAACAATTTAAAGTAAACCACCCTGGTAGCACACATGCTGACTAAGAAACCCAACAGATATGAACAATCTGAACTGAAATCCAAGATACCCATCTACTCTTAAGTATTTGGGTAGCTTTCTCACACTCACATCATGTATAGAAGCTAGGAAACAAAGACACCTGGCATATCTCCATAGGTTTCCGCATCTCTCAGGCATCTCCCAGACACTACCCACTGCTCCCTCTAGCAGCTCAAGTCCTTCCTCTGGCTAATGAAATTCACCAGTTGCTCTATTGGAAGTTCTCTGTCCCAAGGGCCATGTCTCCTAATGATGTACTGGGCACTTTCCCACAAAATAGAATTATAGGTGCCCACTCATGCCATTCTGTGTTCCCTCTTCAAGGCATCTTCATTATTCCCAAGGCCTTTTGAGACTGAATTCCAGTGGTAGAATTTCAGACAAAACAGAAGCCGATGGGGTTAGAACACTATGTATTGGAAAGTTGCTTCTTTGGAAAAACTCATCTGACAGAAAAGAGATTCTAAACTACTTGTGCAAATCACACAACTGCCCTGTCTACCCAGCCTTGGGGCCTTCAAAGTTAGATGGAGTCCATTGGAAAGAGAAATGGCAACAAGGTTATTCTTAATTTTTCTCACTTCATCTGGTATGTAATGATCCCTTGGAACAAAACCAACTACCAACGTCCTTCTGCCCACAGAAAAGCTCCTCCCTTGTGATGGTTGTTTAGATGTCTCCCAAAGCCTCAGGTGGTCATAGAAGGGATTTTTTCAGAAGTGGCTGAATCTAGACTGTGTGATGCTAGAATTGATTTGTGGTGCCATACCACAGTCAAGGGCACTAGGAATAAGGCCATGAGGCTACCCACTCTAAGTAGCCTGGATAAGATACAAGAGACAGAAAGAGCCGCGGTCACCTCTTACTTCTTTGCTACCTTCTGCCAACCATGAACTGTTTCTCCCTGCAATACCTGTTTGTTATGCCACGCTTCCTCAGAGACAGCTGGTTATAGACTGAAACCTCTACAAACTGTGCTCTAAATAAATCTTTCCTCTCTTAATTTGCGAGTGTTGGGTATTTTACCTCAGCAATGAGAAAGTAACTAAGACCCACCTCAGAGAACCAGTCGCATCTTCAGAATGCGACTTCTAAAGATGAAGAAGTGACTTCTAAAGTGACTTCTGTGCAGCTGGCATGTAGGTAAGCAGGTAAATAGGGAATTATTTCAATAATGAAATCAGTACCCGCACAGCAGTCAACACAACCATGGCAAGGCATTGGCCACGACCTCAAGCCAGCCCTGTCCACCTCACCATCTTCTCACACCTTGACGCTACCCCAACTGAGAGCAGGGTTACACTGAATTTTAGATCCATCATCCCTTTGCTTTCTTTTATAAATCATTTTGTTGTATGTAAGTGCATTCTTAAATGGTATTCTTTTCTATTTAGTTTTTGTTTGTTTGTTTGTTTGTTTGTTTGTTTGTTTTTTTGAGACAGGGTCTCACTGTGCAGTTCAATAGCATTCCTATTCGCAAATACTGAACACAGTAAGAAAGAAATCAGAAAGATAATTTCATTTACCATAACTTCCAAAACAGTAAATGCCTATAAATCGACCTACACACAGTAGTAAAAGACCTCTGTAATAAAAATTGCAACACTCTAAAGAAAATGACAGAAGGCAATAGAAAATGGAAAGATGCACCTTGTTCTTGAATCAGCTGGATTAATATTGTTAAAATGGATACTTTGCCAAAAGTCTTCTATAGATTAAATGCAATCCTAATTAAAGCAACAACATTATCCACAAAGCTAAAAAAAAAATCCTAGAATTCATTCAGAATACACACAGCAATCCTTAACACAAAAGAAAAAAAAAAAAAAAAAGCAAAGCAGGTGACATCACAACACTGAATATCAAATCCTACTACAAAGCTATAATAACAAAAACTGCATGTTACTGGAATAAGAATAGACATGTAGACCAAAGGAATAGAGCAAAGGAATAGAGCAGAAGGTAGAGAAACAAATCCCAGGCACCTCCAGCCATCTCATTTGTAACAAAGAGGCCAAAAACATGCCTCGGAGAAAACATAACCTCTTTTGAAAAATGATGCTCTGAAAACTGATCATCCAAATACAGAAGACTCAGGAGATCCATATCTCTCACTCAATGTTAAAATCAAAGCAAAAAGGATCAATGACTTCTACATAAAACGGACATTAAAACTGCTGAAAGGTAACATAGGAGAAATGCTTGAAGCACGGGCATGAGCAAAGGTTGTACGAACAGAACTCGGATGGCACTGGAAATAATATAATCGATAAATGGGATTATACAAATTAAACAACAAGCACATAGGCACCCACCAACAGAGTGAAAAGACAGTGTACAGAGCAGGAAAGAATTTGGCCAGCTACTCTTCTGATAAAGAATTAGTATTCAGGCCAAGCAATGGCCATGACTCATCCACATGGCTAACACTGACAAAGGTTCTACAATCTGAGGTACAGGATCTCAGGATAAATCCTGAGGGCATTTCACTGACCTTCTCAGACCAAAAAGCTACAACTCTTGTTGCACAGGTCCTGCTTTACCTTGGTCTTAACCATCCAGCAGAAAAGTATAAAAATGAAATATAAGAAGCAAAGCCAT